ATAGTAACTCCTGTGGGTTTTTTCCCCCCCTTTTATCATTGACTAGCGTTCTGGTGCACAAAATTCGTGCACTGGGGGGAGGGGAGGTGTCCCTCAGCCCAGCCTGCACCCTCTCCAATCTGGGACCCCTCGGAGGATGTCCAACTGCCTAAACCAGCAGTTGGACATCCTTCTCACGATCCGAGCCTAAACTGGCAGTTGGACATCCCTCTCACAATCCGGGACTGCTGGCTCCCAACCACTCACCTGCCTTCCTGCATGATTGCCCCTAACTGCTTCTGCCTGCCAGCCTCGTCACCCCCTAACCACTCCCCTGCCAGCCTGATCGACGCCTAACGGCTCCCCTGCTGTCCTGATCGCCCCCAACTGCCCTCCCCTGCTGGCCTTTCCTGCCCCCCGCCCCAAATGCTCTCCCCTGCCGGCCTGGTTGTCCCTAACTGCCCTCCCCTGCAGGCCTGGTCACCCACAACTACCCTCCCCTGCCGGCCATCATGTGGTGGCCATCTTGTGACAACATGGGGGCAGGCATCTTGTGAGGGTGTGACAGTAATTTGCATATTACCTCTTTATTATTTAGGATTAATATATTTACTTAACAAAGTAAATTTGGCCTGGTTCTTAGTTTTTTTGAATCTGGTATGTTCCTCTCCATTTGAGTTGCTACTGCAAGGAAGACTTGACGAAGATTTATTTAAAATTGCTAATAACAATGTATCTTGTAAGAGATAGCACAATATAGGAGTTTCATTTTTTTTTTGTTCCATAATAGGGCCAGGATATATTTATCAGCACTCAATTGGTGGCCGTTTAAGTTTGTTACTAGTTTTCCATAGAATTTCTGGATTAGAGGGCATGCACAGTTAAATTTTTATATATCTGCCCAATTGTCCCTCAAAGTTATAGCCTCATCAACAAGATGTTATAGAATGTGTTTGCCCATGCTCTTTCCTTCTAATTTTATCTATGTTGTCTCTCTAGTCTCTGAAAAATTTTGTCAATTTGGTAAAATATAATTATTTTGCATTAGAATAGTATTCTTGGAATTAGCTCAAAGTCATAATACGAACAGGTACTTGATTTAGACTAGAATTGAAATCTTCTCTATCTGGTGTTCTTTTAGTTAACTGAAACTGAAAAATGTTTATTTAATTTTACTTCTAAATGTTTGGAACTAACTTAATACTCTATTTTTGGGAAGTCAAATTATATTTGTCCAACTTTCTTCAGTGGAAATTAATGAAATAGCCAATTAGTCTCTATTGTAAGTGAAAATCTTCATTTTCAGTAACTTTAAATTACATTATGCCAGGCTAAAAAAATTGATAGCTTAAGATGTGTTTAATATATTCACTGGTAGTATCAATATATAAAGGTTTATAGAGATTTGAATGCATTTTATTCTTCAGCTGTTTATCAGCTTGATGCATAGTAAAGAATTGCTCAACCATTGAAGTTATAGTATTTGACAAATCTGCAACAATTTTGCTGAATAAGCCAATGAACTTTTCATATTAAAAGATAACTCATGTGGTAACTTCTATTTATTAAAGCTTGGAACAATTTAAATGATGGAGTGAACATATTTTTGAGGCTAATTCATTATGATTTATCAAAAATATCTTATAAAGAATGCCATTTACTTATTGTTCTTTTAGTTGGTCACTTTCATTAACAGTGATATTTTGTTCATTTTTCAAACTGCTATCAGTGAATTTATGCCAAGATTATTTACAACATGATTGAAGGATTTTACATTTTCAATGCAGTTCTATTTATGTATGTGGAATGTATTTGAAATAATTAAAACATTTTTGTTAATAAAATTTTAAATGTGGTAGAACACATCATTTTTATCAAGCTTTATTGAAAACAAAATAATTTTAGGGACAGTCTAGAACTTGTTCCTTTTAGGTGGGTTGCATCCCAACATCTAGGTCAAGAGAGAATAGTGTATAGGTTTCATCAAGGTTATTTTGGCTCCCTTTGAATTTAAAGCAGGAATAAATGTGGACAATTTTACTTTCTGTGATCTAGTTATCTCTTGTTTTATAAACTATTCTGCAATATCAATTTAAATCTAGGTATGAGAAATAACAGGCATTGGAAAAAGGTTTTGGATTGGGGAAAAATAACACTGATCTTAGCGGAACCAGATTTATTAATAAGCAGTTTTACAGATTCATGCACTGAAATTCCTCTCTTCTTCCCTCATTCTCCCACCTAATTTTATTGCTTTTATTATAGCACTCCTTAGGGTCTGCAGGGCATTGTGCATATATTTGCTTGTTTCTATTTTTTCTACTGTAATGTGAGCCTGGAGGACTAGATGTGTTTGTTATTCATCTTTCTATTCTAGATAGGGCCTGGCACATAATTAGTATAATGTTGACTTCAACTGGTCTTGGCAAAATAATATACTGTGAAAATTATTCTATTTGATCATCTTAGCTGCTAAAAACTATTCCTTAGATTTTCATATTACTTCATTGAATCCATTTTTACATAAAAGGATCCCATGTGCTTGTTAATTTGTTTACAGAGAATTGTTTTGTACAGTTGGAGGGTAATTATTAATAGTTCACCATCTGTTTCTATTACCAGTCTTTCCAATCTCCATATTCAGTTACTCTAAGCCAGCTATTTTATGTGAGATGATCACTCCACTTTAGATTTTGATGACTTTTGAACTTTTAGGTTTTGATATTTTTAAATGTGCAGAATGTTCTGTAATCTTTTGCAAGTAATTTTTGTGGCTTAATTTGCATTTGGGTGCCTTTCTTATTATAAGGAACTGTGCATTGTTGGTAATTGGAAATGTGAGATGTCTGTGTTAGATATCTTTGTAAAACTCTTATTTTTGTTTTTCACCTTTGAAGTAACTCAGGCTTTACTTTTCTAGTAACATGAGGCTTTTAGAACTGTATTTTAATTCTAACAAAAATGGAGAAAGAGGACTCATTTATTTTATTTTTCTTTTCTTTTTTACTTCCCTTTATATCCTGTTTCCCTCCCCCATTTATAAAATGATCATCTAAATTTCATCTACATGCATATAGAACAGCATCAAAGAGTATTATAACTTTTTTGTTTGATTATTTTTAATTATAGTTAACATTCAGCCTTATTTTATATTAGTTTCAGGTGTATAGCATAATGGTTAGAAAATCATATACTTTACAAAGTGTCCTCCTGATATTTTCCGTACCTAACTGGAACCATACATAGTTATTACAATACTAGAGGCCCGGTGCATGAATTGGTGCATGGGTGGGGTCTGGCCAGCCTGCCCCAATCAGGGCCCAGTTGGGGCCAGGTTGGGTGGGGGGAGGGGCTGCAGGTGGTTGGCTGGCCAGTCCCACCCCCTGGTTGGGATGGTGGGGGTGATCTGTGGCCTCAGTGCACGTCAAAGCAAGCAGTCATTTCGGTTCAGGCGTTCTGGTCACTTGGTTTTTATATGTATAGATTAATGACTATATTCCCTATGCTGTACTTTATATCACTGTGACTGTTTTGTAATTACTACTTAATCCCTTTACCTTCTTCACTCAGTCTCTCAACCCCCTCTCCTCTGACAATGTCAGGGCTCTTATTTAGTGAATGCTTACTGTGTTCTTCCAGTATTCTGATGAGCATTGTATATATTCATTAATTGCTTAATAATCTATATAATCCCCATTTACAAACGAGAAAGCTGAAGCAAAAAAAGGAATATATTTTGGCCACTTGACCTCTGTTTTGTTTCTCATACAGATCAAAGAAAATGGGTTAGTGGAAAATACATTTGGACTTTATTTCTGCCAATGTACTCAATTAGCTATCCTTTACACTAGCCTGCCTGTTATAAAACACCTGGAATATTATAAAGGTTTTTTTTAAATGTATAGCTCAATTTGCCATAAAGTAAGAGGATTTCATAAGTGCCACAGAATGAAGTAGCTCAGAATACTTGTTTCTTCTGAAGCTGCTGATGCCCAGGATCTTTACTGAGCTGTGGGACTTAGAGACTTGTGTGTTAACAGCTATTGGGAACAGGAGGCAAGGCTGTGGTTGGTCTGTTCAGAGTGAGGAATTAGAACCCAAGACATCTCTGCATTCACTCTCATCACCCAGGATAAAATATAAAGCTTGATCCTAAACCATTAGGTAAAGGTATTAAAAAAAAAAAATGAAAGAGGAAATTGAGGCTAAGAGACCAAACATTTCTAGGAAAATTAGAAATCTGAGAAGTAACAACAAATCTAGGAGTCTATGAACTGAGAAAAATCTCAAGGAATATCCGCAAGAAGCTTACAGCAATATCTAATATCTAATCCCAATATCAATATCTAATACCAATTCAGCAACATCAAATGCTAGAGTGACAGCAGGGAGAAGGCTTAAGAAGGCGACAGATGAAAGCCCCAGTTGGAGAGACAGACCGTCTTACTTGAATATCTTAGTTCCTCTTGAGTTTCAGTCAATTTTGCATCACCTTCACAATTTTCAGTTTTCACACATTGTCTAGGTTATTAGTGACTTAATATTTTTAAATAAACTTATGCTTATGATTCATTTTTAAAAGAAACCTTCTATATCACATGAAATTTGGAAACCCATAATACCTGCTGTAAAGGGAATGTATCTGTAAACATTAATTTAAAAAGGGAACAGAGTTATAACAGTTACCTGGTAGTGAGTGTGAGGTCTGTCTTCTGCCATACAGCAGGAAAAACAAGCTTTAAGGGATATTGAGGACAAAACATCAGCAATAAGAGGAAATCGAAAAAGAGGCAGAAAGGAAATATATTGTCTGCAGGGGATTCTGTCTTTCTGGGTGTGCCATGTGCAAATATTTTGGTAACAGCAGCATCACTAGCTGAGTGTGAAATGATCTGAGAAGGGAAGTGTGACTATATGTGTATGAGTGCCTGCTTTTCAGTGTTCAACCTTTGGAATCTATTGCTCTAAGCTTCCTATATTGATATGCTCTCTCTCTCTTTTTTTTTCTTTTCTATTTGAAGCTCTGTTAAGAGCCTGTGCTGATGGAGGTGCCAATCGCTTATATGATATCACTGACGGAGAGAGGGAACGGTAAGCTTTCTTTAAGCAATGTCTATGATACCATTAATTCTGATCTTTAGTTTGTTTATTCTCTTCTTAGTCAGTGGTGACTGTTAGTCTTCTGTCAAAATTAACAGGAAACCATCTCAGTGAGAGAGAGAGCTGCTTAACCCTGTGGTGTCGTTTCTTTGTTTTGAATGGTAGCTCTTAGTAGAACTAGGCCAATCATATTCTTAAAAACAAAACAAAACAAAACAAAACAAAACAAAACTCCCACCCATTCTACTACTTCTAAAGCCTCAGTGAGTAGCATTATTAAATATTGGTATTTTTGAGGCCTTTGAACATTGACTAAATAAAACTTCTACTAGTAATTGGAGTTGTTATTCAGTTTAAATGAATAAAAAGTGATCTGTAAACGAAATGCATGTTCTGTTGTAGAAGATGTTTATATTAGTGTTGAGTAAAGCTCAGTATAGTATACTCATAGTCACTTCTAAGTTATGCCCACACATATTTTAGAAGATGAATAATTTTGTAATGATTTGTTATGTATGTTGTCTGGCTTTCCTGATCTTTGCATGGTTGGTTATTTTTAGAAAAAAAGAATACATTGATAAAGCAAAATTTAAACCTAGCTCATCATCAACATGTTTATAATTCAACCTCTTGGCAGACATAAGAATTTATAGTCGAGATATAAGTAGACTAGCTATGAAATTTAGTTTCACTTCTGTCATATATGTTATTAAATGTAGTGAAATGTTTATAGGTTGAAAAATCACCCCCTTGCAAAAAATAAAATGAAAATATTATGATTCAATATACTGTAGGTGTGAATTAAATATATGTATTTTGAAATGTTGTAAAGTACATCTTTATAGCATCAAATTTTTTAGCTCAGGTTTCTGAAATTGGAGGAAGGCCTGTTTCCTTTGAGATTGGGCATGCTAATGTCTAGGGACTGAGAGCTTAATCAAAGAATATAGCAATAACAGCCTAGAAAGCGATTACAACATTTTGTGCTTCTTTATTTTAACTTACAGATTCCTCTGACTGTGTTCTGTAAGACCTGACATGGACAGTGTATAAAAAAACCCCTAAAAACTCAAATATGTGTTATAAAAAGTGCCTAGGCCAGTTCATTCAGGGAAAAGCATAATGCACATGAGTCCTAGATGATGGATTGGGTCAGGTTTGTTGCCTGTAGCCTCCTTGCTGGCAGGCAGTCTAGTACAGAATACTGTTTCTCTAATTGTAGGTGTAGCTCATGAACATGCACACACACACACAGATATATATATATCTGTGTGTGTGTGTATATATAGAGAGAGGGAGGGAGGGAGGGAGGGGGAGAGAGAGAGAGAGAGAGAGAGAGAGAGAGAGAGAGAGAGAGAGAGAGAGAGAGAGAGAGAATGAATATGCAAGTTTGTCCAGGACGCCGTAACAGTTATAACCGGACAAATATGCATATTACCTCTTTATAGGCTGCGTACGCAGATCGGGGTGGGGACTGCTACATGGTGAGGCAAGCCATGGATGGCACAGGCAATGAGCAAGCGTGCAGAGAGCAGGGCGGAGCAGGCCCTCAGAGAACTGGAAGCAGGGCCTGCCAGTCGCTGCGACAACAATCAGGTCCGCAGAGAGCAGGGAGGAGCAGGCCCGCAGAGGGAGTGGGAACTGAGAGGCAGGGAGGCATGCCCAGGCCGCCTGGAGACAATGCCCCAGCAGGCCTGGGAGTGGAAGCCAAGAGGCAGGAGGCCATGCCCAGGCTGCTGCTGCCAGGAAACAGCACCCCAGCAGGCCCGGGAGCAGAAGCCAAGAGGCAGGGGGGCATGCCCAGGCCGTCTCCGCCTCCGCTGGGAGATAGCACCCAGCAGGCCCACCTCTGCGCATGAGCTGCAGAGGAAACACCTTTTCTTACAGCTCATTGGCTAAGCTCCCTGTACGTCACTCTCAGTGTTCTTGATAACTATGGTAATAATCCAAGAAGGTGATCTAGGGTTTTTCCACCTCACTCCTGGAGGAAAAAATTAAGGTTCGCTGCTGGAGGGACTAAGAAATGTCATATTCTGCCCTAGCCAGTTTGACTCAGTGGATAGAGCCTTGGCCTGTGGACTGCAGGGTCCGGGGTTTGATTCTAATCAAGGGCATGTACCTAGGTTGCAGACTCCTCCCTGGCTGGGGCTCAGATCAGGGTTCATGCAGGAGGCAACCAATCGAAGTGTCCCTCTCACATTGATGTTTCTCTCTGTCTTTCCCTCTCTCTTCCATGCTCTCTAAAAATCAATGGAAAAATATCCTCAGGTGAGGATAAAAAAAAAATAAAGAAAGAAAGAAATGTCATATCCTATGAAAGAGACATCTTGAAAATGCCTAAAGATAGTTGTCATTTTGTGGTGAAGGGACTGGAGTCTGTGTTGATGAAAATACCTTGGCGGCCAGCAGTGGCAGCAGCGGGGTGATAGGGGTGGCGCCTTCCCCTGATCAGCCTGCAGAGGGAGGCCAGACTGCAGTTTAGGCCCACTCCCCACTGTCAGTAGTACATCCCCTGAGGGCTCCCGGACTGTGAGAGGGGGCAGGTTGGGCTGAGGGACACCCCCACCCCCACCCCTGCCGCCCAGTGCACGAATTTCATGCACTGGGCCTCTAGTAATCATATAAACATGAGTTGTGGAAGGATGCTATCTAGTGCTTCCCAACTCTTCCATCATCATAAGAACCATCTAGAATGCGTGTGAAAAATGTACTTTTGTGCTGATTACTTTTATTGGACTGGGCTGAACACAATACTATAATTCACATTTAAAAGCAAAACAGATGACTAGATTTGGGGAGTAAGTACCATTATTTGTGCCAAATTTCAAAATAATCATTTCCAGTATTTCTTAACACATTTATAAGTAATCTTATGAAGACTTCTAAGATTTATCTAAAAACCATTTGTCCATATGTGAAGATGTTCAATAAGAAAATATACTTTTAGTTGATTTCCTAGTTGTAATAATATATTTGCCATGATTCCTACTCTAGTCCTTGGGGACTTGGCTGGCCTGAGTAAGGGCTAAATCTCTAACAAGGAGTTGAGTCAGTGAAGCTAAATGTAAGATGTGGGAATTAAATCTTTGCATTACATCTTACCAAATCCAAATGCTAACTTGTGAAACTAATTGGATACAGGTGACTAAACATGATTCCTATTAATTGTATTTTGAGTAGAAAGGCTTCACAATGAAAAGGGGGACAGTACAGTATTCATGAGTTTTAAAAAGCCAAGCATGGTTTGTGAACTATGGCTTCGCTGGTTCTTATTGGTTTATTTATTTAGTGTCCATATCTACAATTGTAATACTTACTACTATGCAATGAAACAGGAATGTCTCGAAAATCATCTCCAGTTGCAGACAGAGTGAGGTGTTTATGCATTTAGAATGAAAGGAGAGCTGGTGTAGACAGTTACAGAGGAGCAGGGTCTGTGGAGATAGAGCTGAGGCAAAGATCAGTGCAGCCTTAGGTCTGATTCTCCACTGACGCATCCAGCCCTTCGTACCACTTTCATAAATGCCATTTCTTCATTTCAACCCTGAAAATGGCCTCTCTCTATTTACCAAGTGCTTTTTTTTCTACATTAGGAAGTCCTAAATGTTTTGTTCTTATTGTGAGAATAATACATGATGATTTAAATCTATGTTAGTGAGTTGGGAGAAACAAAAAGAAGAAAATAACAATTATGTGTTATTTCTTACTAAGTAATTGAGTTGCACTGAGTCTATTAGTTCTACCCTGAGGAAGAACAGAAATATGATTAATTTTTCTTACTAAAATGAATGTAAGCTCAATGAATATAAACGCCCTCAGGCCTGGAAGGTTATCTGGGAATATTAGACACTCAATAAATATTTGTTAATAAGTGGCTATTTGATTAGAGTTACTCTGTTCTCTCTTCCCATAAGGTGTTGAGTGACTTTGATTAATAACCCTCATGTTTTAGGTAAGTAGATTACCTCTGCTCTGAGAGCTGATAGGTTATGATTTGGGTGTTTGTTCAGTCTGTACATCAAACAGGCAGGGTGAGGGACCAGTCAGGAAAACATAGAACGCACATCACCAAAGACAGGTAGATCTTAGTTTTGGCTATGGACATGGGATTAAAGAGGAAGACATTTTAGGAAGACTCAGTCTTTTTTTTTTTTAATATATTTTATTGATTTTTTTACAGAGAGGAAGGGAGAGGAATAGAGAGTTAGAAACATCGATGAGAGAGAAACATTGATCATCTGCCTCCTGCACACCTCCTACTGGGGATGTGCCCGCAACCAAGGTACAATGCCCTTGACCGGAATCGAACCTGGGACCCTTGAGTCCGCAGGCTGACGCTCTATCCACTGAGCCAAACCAGTTAGGGCTGAAGACTCAGTCTTTATACTCTATTCTCCTACTCTTAATTGACTGTTTTCCTAACTTGAGCTGTCTGTCTTTAGAAATGTGGGGTAGTAAGGTGGGGTATAGATATGTTGGCCAATGCCCCCAATTCTACAGCTCTAATCTTTAATTAGAGCTGTAGGGAAGTCTCATGTTTATATTCTGGTGATTAAAACATCCTGTGGTGGCCTCAGAACATCCTCCTCCTGCCTTCTCCCAAGTAGATCAAATTCATATTGGTGAGAACCAGGGTGGTAAAGCATGGTCCCATGATCAGGGTAATCACAGGCTACAGAGATGGGGGAAAATACCAGAGAAGCAGGGTAAGATTTCCTACAAAAATTTTCAGGATCAGATTTTTGTTTTTGTTCATCCTCATCATCAACAGGCATTGGAGGTTTATTTAATTTTTCTAGTGATGATTTTATTGATACTATATTAGCTCAGGAAAGTGCAAGCTGTCCACACCAAAGACTATTGAAAGATTGTTATTTTTGTGTACCTGATACATAATAATGATTCTGGCAGGGTGAAGTCCCCATCCCCTCCCTTCTTCAGCCTTCATTGCTCTCCTCTTCTGCCCCTTTTTCCTGGTTCTGCTCTAAGAG